CACACCGTTGACTGAAATAGTAAAGAAGAGTGTAGGTTTTCATTGGGGAGAATCTCAAGAAATTGCATTTAACACCATTAAGGATAAGCTATGTAAGGCACTTGTTTTGGCATTATCAAATTTTGATAAAACATTCGAAGTTGAGTGTGACACATCAGGAATAGGTATAGGAGCAGTGTTAATGCAGGAAAGGAAACCTATTGTTTACTTTAGCGAAAAGTTGAGTGGGGCAGCGCTGAATTATCCGACATATGACAAGGAGCTGTATTCACTTGTTCGAGCATTGGAGACTTAGCAGCACTACTTATGGCCAAAGGAATTCGTGATACACACCGATCATGAATCTTTGAAGCATTTGCAAGGTCAAGGTAAGTTGAACAAAAGACATGCGAGATGGATGGAGTTTATCGAGATATTTCCCTACGTCATCAAGTACAAACAAGGTAACGAAAATATAGTTGCTGATGCGTTGTCTCGAAGGTATGTGCTTTTAAATTCATTAAGCACTAAATTACTTGGTTTCGAACATATTAAGGGCATGTATGAATCTGATTGTGATTTTTCTAGTATTTATGCTTCATGGGACAAAGGTGCATTTGATAAATTTTACAGGCATGAAGGATATTTGTCTAGGGAAGATAAGTTGTACATTCCTAATTATTCTTTGCGTGAATTATTGGTAAGGGAAGCACATGGGGTGGTTTAATGGGACACTTCGGGCTTCAAAAGACTTTAAGCATGTTAGGGGAACATTTTTATTGGCCTAAAATGCGACATGACGTAGAACAAATATGTGGAAAGTGCATAACTTGTAAAAAGGCTAAGTCTAAGGTTCAACCCCATGGTTTGTATACTCCTTTGCTTGTACCCAGTGAACCTTGGGTAGACGTATCTATGGACTTTGTGTTAGGTTTGCCTAGGACAAAAAGGGGTCGGAATTCAATATTTGTAGTGGTCGATAGGTTTAGTAAGATGGCGCACTTCATACCATGTCATAAAACTGACAATGCTACTAATATTGCAGACTTATTCTTTAGGGAAATAGTACGTTTACATGGAGTACCTAAATGTATAGTGTTTGATAGGGACGTGAAGTTTTTGAGTCATTTTTGGCGTGATCTGTGGAGTAAGTTAGGAACTAAGTTATTATTTTCTACAACTTGTTACCCACAAACAGATGGACAAACTGAGGTAGTTAATCAAACTATGACTCAACTACTTAGAATAGTGATCAATAAAAATTTGAAATCATAGGAAGAGTGTTTACCGTTTATAGAGTTTGCATATAATTGAGCTACACATTCTACTACTTCGTTTTCTCCTTTTGAAATTGTTTATGGTTTTTGTTCACAAAATAATTCTTTCGATTTAAAACTATCGCAAGTGTACTGTTCGTAACAAGTAATAAAGTGAATTTTTAAAAGTTCGAATATCGTCTCTCAGAGATTGAGTAGTTCAATTCTATATAATCTAGCCTTAACCAAATCTAATTGAGTGAAAATATGGTCTAAATGCAAAAAGCCCTAATTTCAATTAAAAACCCTAATTTCGCTAAAAAAAACCCTAATTTCTATTGAAACCCCTAATTGCTCAATTAGAAACCCTAATTTCGAAATTTCTCTAATTAAACAACTCAAACACTCAAGTAAATGAAATTATGCAAATTCAAAAGCTAATTTATGGAAATGAATCAAACTAAAGTCACTAGGATCACGAATCCCCAATTGAAGTTATAAAAACCCTAATTTCATAAAATTAATGACCCGACGGAAATTTGCCAATTCAATGTTCCTAATTCTATCCAATATATTTTCTCCATATATATTAGACCTATTCTTGCATACCACCAGCCTATATCTCTATGGATGATGCAACTATACAAGAATGCATGTGGTTTTGTTAACAATTAAAGAATTGCATAAAGCATAGGGGTATATCTCTATCCCCTATCGGACCCTATGTTAATTTACACCTTATCAAACCTATTTCACTTCTCTCGAATGTAAGAAATAAGTCATCAACACTCACACAATCATTGGCCACTAATTGGGGAAGAAAATTAATGCATGTAAACAAATCTAGTTATCCAAACGAGTCTTTATATTAAATTCATGAAATATGGAATTAAAATAACAAACAACGGTTCATCGATCACCTAGTAATTGAAAACCTAGCCTAGAATATTCATAATTATAGAAAAAACAAAATTAATAAATAGAAAGAATAGCACCCGTACGAAAATTCTTGAAATCTTGAATAAAACCTTGAAACCCCGCTTGAATTCTTGTGAAATCGGCTTCAAGTTCATGTTCCTTGCCTCCAAAATTTGTATTTTTCTTCTCCCTGGACGTTCTGCCCTATTTCTGATGAATTTTGGCTTTTATATCATGTCCTCACGGAGCTCCGAAAGAGTTTCAAATTTGAACCATGCGACCGCATGGTTCAAATTTTCTGCTCAATAAAATCCCTACCTCCTCATGTGTGGCCGCATGGTATAGTTACATGCGGCCGCAAGGTTGTAACTTTACAACCTTGCTATCTTGGTCCCTGAACTCCGTTTTCTCTTTTCTTGATCTCTTTTTTTTTCTTTACTTTGTTCCATTATCAAATATTGACTCCTAATTGATGTTTGGGTCAATCAATTCCTTGATCACTTGCTCGGCTCATCTTTTGATTAATTGCAATTTAGTCCTTCATCTTTCACTTTTCTTCAAATCAGTCCAATGTTATTTCTTTCTTCCTCCAATCATCTTGTATCGTCCTCAATCTCATACTTGGTATATTTTCATTCTAGTTCTGCACTTTAGCTCAACTTTCCAATATTTGCACCTTTGGTCCTCGAACTATAGCTTTGTTCCGTTTTGGTCCTTTTTCGGCTCTTTTCTTCTGAATTCCATCTTTTCCATAGAAACACCTATATTGCATGAATTTAACGAGATTAAGTCACAATTCAACTTTTCGTCCATGTTTAAGTCATGTTTGTGAACTAAATAAGTGTGTAAAAACACACTTATCAAATCCCCCAAACTTAAACTATTGTTTGTCCTCAAACAATGTAGTGACTTAATGCTAAACAAACATGGCTTAATAGCTTGCCGTGTCTCAAGATTGGACTTAGTAATAATAATAGAAACAATATCAAGAGTGCGAGAATTGAATCAACCTTTACTCATCAAATGCAATACTCAACGTGTGTGTGTGAACTCATGCCAATATATCAAGCTTATGATTAGTTTATCCTAGACCCATAGTGGTCAAATTTATCCTTACGTCACTTGAGAGATACACAATCCCTAAATGTATTCTTTTCACACAATTTCTCCAAGGTGTATTCTTAGGTTAGGAGTTTAAACAATTCTAATCCTTACCCTCTCTTAGTTTGGATAGATTTTACCATTACAAGTTCACGTATCAACAAGTAGAGACTCTCCTTATTTTGATTGCTTCAACCTTTTAGGATTAAACTAAGCTACTTGCCTCGCATCGAGGTTATAGTTCTGTCAACCAAATGTCCAACGAGGGTTTTTATTTTTATTTTTATTTACTTTTTTTTGTGCGTGTCATCTTCTCATTTGCTTTCTATATAACCCATGTAACGAGTTTTAGGCGATGACTCCTAAACCAGTTGACTTTAGGGCACCAGGTTTTAAACCCTTGCAGTCTTATTCACTCGAGTTATACAGGCTCGATAAGATGACTTTTTATCAATTTCTCCCTTTTCTTGCTTTCTATATGACCCTTGTAACGAGCTTTAGGCCGATGACTCCCAAACCAGTTGGCATTAGGGTATCAGGTTTTAAACCCTTACAGACTTACTTGCTTGAGTCATGAAGGCTTTTTGAGAGAAGTGATCATTTTCCACTTTTTACTTTATGCCCCTTCTTTGTTTTTCTAGACATTTGACTTCCAAAACCATCCTCACTTAAAGCTTTCACCTATTTCTCACCTTCCGGGTTTAAACAATCCACACATTATAATTTCATGCATGGAGCCCCCATTTATCTCCATGTTTCCCTACAATGGCTCAATCATCTCCAAAATATCTTAAAGTGGTATTACGGGTTAATGTTATAGAGGGTTATTCTAGGTTTCTCCTAGTTTATTCTAAAATTTCAATCAATAACTTAACACATGACATGAGTGGCGTGCAAAAGAGTGTCAAGCAATGCATCAACAAGTATTAGCAAATTAAATCCTACACTAAATCCAAAGTTTCTAGCTTATACATGTCCAATAATCACATCATAGCCGGCAAGGCTACCAAACCCACACAAGCATGCAAACGTTCATCAAAATTCGCTCATCAAGCATGCATCATGCAAAAACTTGTCAAAATTAACGATGGATTGTGAATATGCAAAATAATTATATGCCGAATATTTGTTTGAAATTATGCTACCATCCCCCAAACTTATACAATACATTGTCCTCAATGTAAAATGTAAAGTTAAAATGGCAGAATTTAAAACATGGACACAACTTGGCAATAAGAGATTAACAAAACTCCCCTAATCAATTCGGTGGCTGTGGTGTGAAGCTAGGACCCGTAGCATCATCTTCAGGAGGAGGTGGGAGACGAGATAGGACTTGTCTCAGCAACTCGAAATGCTGTGCTTGCTCGGCCTAAATGGCTTGAAGACTACTTTCCATATTTCCCAAGCGATCCCAAGTTTCGTTCACACGCCACTGTATGCCATCCATTCTCCCAGCGTACATGTTGAACCTACCATTCATAGTCTCTACTTCCCTTCTTGCAGCTGTGGCTTCATTCAAAGCACCTTTTGTGTAGTCTCGGGAGGAGTAGAGGTCTCTCTGCACTTTTTCAACAGTGGTGGTCATCGTCTCGAACCTCTGCTGGAGATTTTGTATATCCCTGCTAGTTCCAGTGGCTGTGGCAAATATCTGTCGAAGTAGCTGCGAATCCATCTCAACTGGTTGTGGCGGGGCTTGTGGTAAGTATAAATCTTCAGCAGCTTGTCCTTATTCCTGTGCATTTTGTCTTTACTGCTCAAGTCTGTCTTGCTCTCTCTTCCTTACCCTAGCTCGTTCCTGAGCTTCAAATGTAGTGAGCTTTATCAATAGGCTGGATTTCTCAAGCATCTTCCCTGCCTCAACTGCGATGCGATGTGGGTTCGATATTATAGCACATGAAGACCCAAAGGATGGCTATGGAGGGAGTAAGCTCAATTTGATGCTATTCTGCAGTGGATAGGGGCCAAGCATTTTCCCTTCCCAAGAGAACCTCCCCCACTTCATTCCAATTGAATTGAGTGGGAATCGGGACCACATTGTCCAAATTAAGATTGTAGAAGTCATGAATGACGGCTGGGGAGAACATTATCCACTTACCTCGCACC